GCTGTAATTCTATAAAATGGACCTTTTTGAATGACTCTTGTATTTTTTGGAGGGTATCCCACTCCATATATATATATATATATATATATATATATATATATATATTATATATATATATATATATATATATATATATATATATATATATATATATATATATATATATATATATATTTATTCTGTGGCAATTTAAATTACAACAGTTAGGAATATTATAATGTTTACCCATGCACGAGTTTAGAGCTGAGGTTTATTGCTGGGTTTCAGTATGAAGCAATTTTTTACTTTTAAAACAATGATTTATAAATGCTAGGTATTTGAAATTCTACTTTTAAAAATTGCAAGAACGAGCATTTTGAATCTGAAGTTCTGTATTCTTTTAAGATAAAAAAATATATATATAATTAAGATCTTACTCTTAAGAAAATTATTCTTGAAAGAATTGCTGACTTAAAAACTGAAGAATTACTGGACTATGAATCATAGAACAGAGGTACACCCATCACCAAATCTGTCTTTGATTTAGATTTATAGCTGGCATTAAACCACTACAGAGTTTTGGGTTACTAATCTTTTGAATTTAAAAAAACAACTGATGTGTAGGATGTTCTCATAAAATTATCAGTTAATAAATGGTTAATTAAGAAAGGTTTTTTATGTCTAGATCAAATGAGCCGGTGTTTACCTACATATTTCAACTAATACAAATGAACTACTCAATTAAGGATTGAGTTTAAAAATTAATTATATTATGTTGTGACAATGATGTTATCCCTATTTCAACTTTTTTACACGCGATTAAGAATGATAAGGAAGCAAAGAAGAAAAATATTGAATGGGAACGACAGAAAAAATGTGTAATATAATTTTCTATCTACATGTAAGATATTGTGTTTCTAGGGATAATAAATTCATTCCTCTATTCCTCAGCAGCAGTAGTAGTACGATAAACCTATCACAAAATCACTAAAAAAAACCAAAACAACCATACCCAACAAAAAAAAAATATCATAGAATACTATAATTTTTTATGAGAAAATTTATCTTTAATCCTTGAAGGTCGAGTAACTTTTTTCCCAGAATATTACTATTTCTCCTTTTGTTTAATTTTCATCTTAGAAAAATGAGAAAATTAGTTAAATCTGGTGATTTGAATACTTATAAGGTGAGATAACTACGAAAACAATGTGGTCATAATAACAATTATCAAGCCCACTTAGGGCTACGTATAACACTATATGGTTTGTTGATTGATACAGACCACCTAATATAATCCCCCCAAAACAAAGTCACAAATAAATGTGTCACTGAGGTTTATTGCTGGGTTTCAGTATGAAGCAATTTTTACTTTTAAAACAATGATTTATAAAATGCTAGGTATTTGAAATTTCTACTTTTAAAAATTGCAAGAACGACATTTTGAATCTGAAGTTCTGTATTCTTTTAAGATCAAAAAAAATATATATATAATTAAGATTCTTACTCTTAAGAAAAATTATTCTGAAAGAATTGCTGACTTAAAAACTGAAGAATTACTGGACTATGAATCATAGAACAGAGGTAACCCACATCACCAAATCTGTCTTTGATTTTGATTTATAGCATGGCATTAAACCACTAAGAGTTTGGGTACTATCTTTTGAATTTAAAAAAAACAACTGATGTGTAGTGATGTACTAAATTATCAGTTAAAAATGGTTTAATTAAAAGGTTTTTTATGTCTAGATCAAATGAGCCGGTGTTTACCTACAATCTTTCAACTAATACAAATGAACTACTCAATTAAGGATTGAGTTTAAAATTAATTATATTATGTTGTGACAATGAATGTTATCCCTATTTCAACTTTTTTACACCGATTAAGAATGATAAGGAAGCAAAGAAGAAAAATATTGAATGGGAACGTCAGAAAAATGTGTAATATAATTTTCTATCTCACATGTAAGATATTTGTTTCTAGGGATAATAAATTCACTTCCTCTATTCCTCAGCAGCAGTAGTAGTACCATAAAACCTATCACAAAATCACTAAAAAAAACCAAAACCAACCATACCCAACAAAAAAAAAATATCATAGAATACTATAATTTTTTATGAGAAAATTATCTTTAATCCTTGAAAGGTCGAGTAACTTTTTTCCAGAATTATTACTATTTCTCTTTTGTTTAATTTTCATCTTAGAAAAATGAGAAAATTGTTAATCTGTGATTTGAATACTTATAAGGTGAGATAACTACGAAAACAATGTGGTCATAATAACAATATCAAGCCACTTAGGGCTACGTATAACACTATATGGTTTGTGATTGATACAGAACCACCTAATATAAATCCCCCCCAAAACAAAGTCACAAATAAATGTGTCCATGTTCTTTAGAGTAGAAGAAAAACAAATAGGAATAGAAACGAAATACAAATACAAGAAAATTGAAAATAAATATTGCAAATAAATAAATAGAAAAAATAAATGTGATATAATTGCATACAAAAAACTAAAATAATACAATCATTGGTTAAGGAAATCAATATCGGTGATGGAAATGTAAGCTGCTGGAGTTCATTCAAAATTGCATTTTTCAAGTTGCATCTTCTACATTGGAATCTCCTCCATACCCCGAATGTAAAGCCGTACCATCATTCCTGTCAGTATTCCTCAAGAAATTGATTAATTCCTATTAGGTCGCAGGTTCCAAACTGTGGAAACTCCAAATTTTAGCCATTTTATAAGGCAGAACACCACTAACAAATATGGGCGTCAGAATGTACTACGCAAATATTATGAAAACACTGAGCAAATGTAGCATGAAAAATTATTCAAATATTTTCTAAGCCACAAACATTACGAAATCACAATCTATTTAGCAATAATCTTACAGTAATAGATAATAAATTTAATTGTTTAAAAAAAATCTTAAAATTTATATTTTCACAAAACAAAAATAATATTTACAATTATGTGCTACACCCTGGCTACATCCTTGCAAATTTAAAATAACTATGTTATTTAATTATAATTTTATGACTAAATATATTGTGATACTAAAAAGCATCACAATAAGCAATAATAAATAAGTAACAAACCTCTGTTTTCAAAAATCTCCAGAAACTCAAAAAGTCACACCCCAACAAAATGCTCAAACACACCACAACCGTGCCTGTGAGCATTGTGGTTGCAATGATGACCACATGCATGATCCAGCAGGTAGATTTCTAAGAATGAATGTGATCACACTATCTGGAAGAATCGTTTTACATTGAAGCCTGTCTTAAACATAAACTCACATTGTTTCAGAGAGACAATAATCCTATAAAGGTTAAAAGGTAATTTGATGTGAGGAAATTACCTTTAAAGGCAGAAACCTCCTCATTTGGAAACAGAATGCTGTTGAATGATTATAAACTAACAAGGAAAATTAATTTTACGCTTATGCTTCCTTTTTATACTGCTATCAATTATTCTTACTAAAAGAGTGGGGATGAAGCATATATTCCGTGAGAGCTCAAAGTATCACTCTTCAAAGTTCCTGGTCACATGTAAATGACCTGGAAATATTTCATAACTTACTTATTTCTTAACTTATGCCCTGTGATGTTGGAACTCCTGCAAGTGTTGAAAAACCAGACACTGGCCAATGTCATGAATCTATAACCTACCTTGCTGTAACTATGGGTAATAATTAAGATTTTAAAAAGAATTGTAAATACTGTACATTTGCTCAATTTTGTAGTAATTTACCTTTGCTTCACAGAAGTCATTTTTGATGCTGTGTAGCAATATTTTCTTTAAAAAATGATGATTTTTCATAATTTTTTCTCTAATAAAATTACATCTAAAATAGGGTATTTAATTATTTGGTGAATTACTGGCAAGCCTATGTAAGACAGAAGTTTTTTTAAGGAAACGTTGTCTTCCTTCTGGAATAGATTTTACTTTTATAATCGAATTGAAGTGTACCATTAAGGATGCACAGCACATATTCAAATTTTATTTCCAGGATAAATTTTGGCAAAAATGAAGTGGGAAACTTCATTGTTACCCAATATTCACCAACATGTCTATTTGTTGAAATACAACAAATTTACTGCTACGGTTCAGTAACTCTCAGAAGATTTAAAATTATTTACCTTCTTAAATATTCTGAGCACTGCCTCCTAATACAATATGCACGCTGAAACCTACATAGAAAATAAGATCACAATTAGTCAAATACAATTTTTGTTACTCGATGGAAAATCGTGGGAGTGTACAAGATGCCATAACAATAATTTATACTTAAAGATACATACTAATTAATGCTGAAAGTTTTTACACAACACGCAAGATTAAAATACAATTAGAAATGTATCTAACAAACATAGCAAATGTTTCACACTGAACTGCCAAACATATCAAAAGTAATTTTTCACGAGAACATCAAATAATCACACCAAAACATGCTGTTACCTCATCACAAATACATGAGCAGCTAAGCCATGTTGCATCTGGGAAGGTTCTTAAGTCAAAGCAATCTCTATGTTAGTACACTCTTCACCCAGGAGATGTTGCCAATACCAATGTGTGAAGATATGGGCACTGACGGCACAGCAGTAGAAGAAGACTATCCACTCTCTCTTGGAACGCTTTTGGTTGATGAAAACGTGGCAGTGATTTGTGAGCATAAACCCACAAATCTCCTCGATATAAATCTACAGTAGTTAAGATAGACTGTGTGGCCACCTATATAAAATAATACGTTTCTATTAGAAGAGTTAAATGACATATACACCACTTTACATATATAAAGAATTACCTTTACATGTGGAGAATCATATACAATAGAACGGACTGGAGCTTTATCTTGCCATACAACATCACGATTACGAACACCATCCATTGAAAAATGAACACAGAGATAAGGGTTACTCTTCCGACACTGGCGCCATGCTCTAGCAGACAATGATCTCAACAAACCCACTTCTGCAGGTGTGTAACGATTTTGAACAATATGAAGATGACGTAATGTAGTATTACCAAGTAACTGCAGCAAATCTTCACCCAAGTTCTGTGGACTAATATAAAGCACCTGAAGAGCAACCAAAAATTAAGGTCTGAATTTGATCTCTTGGTAACATTTGCATAACAAATCTATCTTACCTGTAAATTAAGAAATACTCCCACATGCAACAACTGGTAAGGCAACTTTGTTGTGTTTATCACCACTAATGTTTCTAGTGTAAGGCAGCACAATGAACACACTTCATCAAGTAAGTGTTGAGCTTCTACAGGCTCTAGCATTAAGTCAATTAGTTGCAGAGAACGAAGGGATTTTAAGTTTCCCATTAAGCGTTTCAAAGCTTCAAGTAGTCGTCCTAATGAAGAGAAACAGCAAAACTTTTATCATGTAACATGTCAAAACATTATATTATTGCTCAAGGAACAGAAATAATGTTTCAACAGTTTTTTATTCCACCAAAAAAGAACATTTCCACATCTTACCACCAGTTCCATAAATGCGAGCATGTTCTTCTTGATCAGCCATGTTACAAGGAAACGTGAACTTAAGGGCACGGATTTTTGGACCTACAATAAGACGTTCTGTGTCTCTTCGCTCCGCAAAAAACGAAAGCATGTTCATAAACTCATACAAATTATAAAAATTCATCATGGGTTCAAATACTAAGCGTCGAATGCTTCTTCCTACTGTTATGAGGCACATTTGTGTGCGCAGATGATCCAAAACATGCTGTAAAGAAATTGTAAGGGTTAAACTCTCAGGAAATTTACTTGTCAGAATGGCATTTTTTTTATTAGATTGTACCTGCCATCCGTAATAGTAATTGAATTTTCGGCGAGTTAAAGTATTATCTTCCATTGTGAACGTAGACCAAACTTTCTGAAGAAAAAAGGCTCTGTGCCACGAACGGCAAACCATTGACGCATAATAGCGTTCCCGAATCGACAAATATGAAAAAACTTCTTCTAAAATAAGATCGGGTAAAATATGCCAATAACTGTATACGTGATTACCTTCTTCATCTTTTTCATCTCCCTCACCATCTATGTAAATAGCTGAAAAATAAGTTTTCTTAATGTCACTATAAATAGGTTAGGTGATTATTACCACTACTGTTAAAATGTTGGTCGTTAAAACATGTGATATTTTTAACTAAAATATTCTGTGTATTGTCTCCAATATTTTTTTTAAAAAGAATATTTATTAAAAAACTTCAATATCTCACCTTCTTCGTTGTTGTCTACTTTCCACGCCGCTTTCATCATTTTGTTCGATTTTTTCTTAGTAATGAAATCTAGCAAGAAAAATATCCGGGACAAGTTTGTACAAAACGGGAATTATCGCCTCCAAACACACGCCTGTATTTTTAGATTTTAAACTAACTGAAACACAATCAAAAAAATGAAAACAAATTTTGCCGGCTTTACGTCTTTCTTAAATTCATCAATTGTTAAGTTATCGATTACTCTGTACCAATCGCGAAGAGTAATCGACCTATTTCGAGCACGCGGTTTTGATTTCAAACGAGTATTTTGCTGTCACGAAATTAAGCAAAAGTTTCTGAAAACAGTCATTCATAAAAGCTTTCCACGGCTTTCAAGAGAATGACTATTTTGGGCTCAATATTTTCTCAAATGAAGCAAGGATTCATAATACGTTATATTATGACCCAATAGTAACAATTCACTTGGAACCGAAGTATCATTCATGATTAATAGTTTTTTTCCTTTTTGTTTACCTGATAAAATTCATTCACCACGAAATAACTTTGACCACTGCAAATAACTTTTGCATTTTAAAATTAATGAATATCTATGGCAATGAGTAACATAGAGTTATTCCCATTATTATTAAAATCTACTCAGCAAACATTGCCAAGAGACAGAAAGCTTTACATTAGTTGTAATGCACATTCGCTACCAGAAAATTTTAAAGGCATTCAGTAATGTCACAATTGATTTTAAGAGGGATACCATCAATCAAATTTCATCAGTGTTCGCAAGTAATACGTCAGGTATGTTTTCCAGTTCTATATTACAGTACCACAAACTTCAATAATATATTATCATACTAGGATTCAGATATTTAGGATTTTATAAATGTCATTTTATGCTTTTTAAAATATCGATTTATATTGTCTACTTTTCTAAAATATCCCCTTCAAAGTTAGCATTAAACCAAAAATTAACTTTTGCCGTTTCATCTTCTCCCAGAAGAACTCTATTTATGTCTTTCAACTTTGGGTAACCAGGGTTACATTGAATTTTAAAGAGCTTTGATGAGAACACGTCATCTACAGTGCCTGGTTCTTCCTTCCATGGAATAGCTTAATTTATGTTCATTGCTTTGTTTAGTATTAGACTTGAAGACGTTTTAATGTTTATCATAACTAATTTAAGCTATTATCTATAGTAGGGTTGTCCAACTGTCGGCCTGTCGCCCGCGAAAGGTTATTAGTCAAGTTTGGTTTATCTTCGTACAGTTCTCAAAATTGTAATCTTGGAGAATCTTCGCCGTCGTAACAATATCCAATTTTTTCGATACATATTTTTACACATTTAGTACTGTATTACATATTTTGTAATTTTTACAAAATATTTTGTATTCTATCAATTATCTTTAATTTTATTGCGTATTTTTGAAAAGAAAAAAAGAAAAAAAAAACGCTGCGTGAAGACGCTGTCCGATATTCGCATTGTCCGCCGCGCCTGCTTCAGTTATTATTGGTTTAAGCCATTGTAGAAGTAGTATTTTAAAGACCCTTGATAAAACCGGTAGAAGACTTGTTGGTCTGTATGATACAGCTTCTGTAATCGGTTTTACAGGTTTTTCTATGGATATCACTTGTGCATACTTCCATAGATTCGGATAGTGAGTCTCACTTATTATAGCATTGAAGATGTATGTTATGAATGATAACGCTTCCTTGAGTAATTCTAGTAGTATTTTACCGGGTGTAAGATCATGTCCTGGGCTTTTGGTAGGGTTGACGTGCTTTTTAATGGTTTCTTCTATTTTATTTGAACATTTTTATAGGTGCCGACTGTTGAAGTGGAACCTGTAAAAATTCTATTACCTCATTTTCGGAAATATTTCGTTTATCTCTTCTAATAGGCGAGATGTGTCGTGGCCGATTCATTTTTTTCGTTGCTTGCCGTAGCAAGTAATTAATTGTAGCTGTTGGTGACAAGGACTGTACGTAATTGGAAAATCAGATAATTTGGTACTATTGTAGTGCTATTTTTAGCTGTTGAGCTGATACGTTAAGTTTTCAGGTCGTCGGGTGTACATATAAATTCTACGGAGACGACGGGTTTCTGCTATTTTTTGCCTAATTTCGATAGGATACGGTGAGTTCTTGATTACGTCAAGTTTTGGTGTTGCTCTCCAGGCAGCGCTCTATTCAATCTATATAATATCTGTTAAATGCAGTACTGCGCTGTCTATGTTTTTGCTTGATTTTAGAGGCATGTTTGCGCTTAACGAATGTTAACGTACTTGTGACGAAATTTATCCCAATTGGTAAACTTGCTACACAGTTTAGGAGGCGATCTGCACTCAATAACAGATAGTCATCTCTACTGGAGTGTGATAGGAGCTTAGGACGTAATTGGTTTTAATCTCAATTATATCAGGTGTTACTCCTTTTGCTAAGAAAACATCTAGAAGATCAGATATTTTATTCGTATCAGTTGGCCATTACGAGGGTTCTGCAGTTGATAGTGTCATTACATTGAATTTGTTGCTTTGAGCAGGCAAAAGCTTCCTTAATGTATTGAGCCTTGAGCCCCACTATAGATAGCGTGGGCATCTTCTCCCAATTGTTTTCATAAATGCAACAAATCTTCTGTTATTTTTTGTTTCGGAGGGCACTAAACAGCTGTTTAGGTTAGTGGTCTGCCGTTTTCTGTAATCTTTACGAAAGTAGACTGAATGTGTTGTTTTGCATTCAGTAAGCTTATGATGTTTTATCGAGTTGCGAATGATTACGGCCGTTCCTCCCTGTGCTGTTCCGTCCGGATGTTCGGTAGTACAAATTACGTACCCCGGAATTTGAAGATAGCTTTTTTCTGTGAAGTGGGTTTCAGATATAAGCATGATATATATCTATGTCGTGTTCGCTGAGAATGGCAATCACCTCTTTGCGTTGCTGGAGTATTCCATTTGCGTTCCAAAGTATCATTTTTATTTTCCACGTCATTTTAATGCATTTTGGATACCTGTTGATATTAAGTATGGTTTTTATTTGTTCAGATTGTTGTTTCAAAATGTTTTGGAAGTGTTAGAAGGCTTTATCAATAAATTGACTGAGGTTCTCTTGGTCGTTTGTGGGCCCGTAGTTAGAATAGTTTTTTTGTATTCCATGCAGGTTGGGAATTGATAATGAATTGCATTTTCATGAAGTTGCTTGTGTTGCATTGCGGATTGTGAATTATGATGGGAAAAGTTGTTATTTTGAATTGGGTGAATGGGAGGGGAGGGAATCATTCGGGACCATTTGTTTTCCTTTAGGAATTGAATCCGTGGATTTTTTTCAGTTGATTTCTACTTTTCTTATATTTCTTGTATTGTGCATCCTTTGTAGTTGGCTGGATGATTATCAGAACATAAAGCGCACATTGCTGGTATGTTTCTATCCTTCTTACAGTCTTCTGTGAAGTGCTCTTCACCGCAATTAGGGGTTTCTTTGCAATATGCCCTTGTGTGCCCGTACTCTTGACATCTATGGTACTGAGTAGACAGCCATTCAGTCTTTTTGTAAGAAGGTTAAAATTTTATGATTGCACTTACACGTTTATCTATTTTGTAAATGTCTTTATTATTTGGACTTGGTTCTAGGTCCACGAAAGAAAGAGAGAGTGGGCGTTTAGTTAGTCTGTGCCTCACTTAGTGTAAGATACGAACTGTATGTCGTAGGTTTTTTAATTCTGACACAACTTCTTCTTTATCAATTGTAGGATGCAAGTATCGTAGTACAACTGTGAAAGCTCTATCTTGTTTAAGTTGGGAAATATTATATGATGCAATTTTTTCGTCGAGTAACTTTACTAATAAACGGTACGCTTCTACTGTTCTTGGCATTCCTTTTATTTCGTTATTGTACATTTTGTAAACAAAGTCTTCTTGTTTCACATTTTGCTTGAGAATATCAATCAATTTTGGTACATTTGTTATGGCGGGTGAAAGATGTGTTTCTTCTCTTGTTTCGTTGTGAGTTTTGTTTTGAGTTTCATTCATTAGAGGGGCGATTTTATTATGCAGAGGAATCCCACTTTTGATTAAGATAGGTAGGTTATTATTTGAATGACTACCATCTCTTTGTCTTCTTCATTTGCGCCTATTTGTTTGCCATCCGTCGGCACTTGCATCACCGTTGTTATCAGTTGTTTAATTTTTTCGGTCACTACTTTGCATTTGTCGAAGCTACGATTGTTTTTGCGTCTGTGGAGAGTGCCATGGAAGCTGCTTTTCGGGCGTACTTCTCCATTGTTGAAAGATGATACTGGTTCTCTGCTGTCATTCTGCGTTGGTTGTGACTGCATTTGTATTATACACGCTCTTTTTCTCTCCTTTACGAACATTAGTTGAATTCAATATAAATGATAGCAACAAGCTTTGTTGACAAATTCTGATGACCAGAAATGTTTGCTACCGTGTAATAGAAACTATTTTGTATTGAACAATGAGCTACAGATTTCAAATAACTGTCCTGTTAGCAAAATTATCATCCCCCTACTTCTCTCGCATCTAGCGAAGTGAAGGCTCAAGAAAACGTGCGGGAATAATAGATGGTGCTGCCACTGAAGCTTCTTGTCAAGCGTAAGATGCGGTGTATCGGTTGACTGCATTACATCGCACTTTGTTCCGTTGTAAATTAATGTAGCTTCACGGATGCTCTGGCTGAGGCCAGCGCGTTCTTTTTGTACTGAACTAATTGTCAAATGTTTATGTTATGCACTATACGCCTTTAGATGAACCAACGAGCTAGAATATAAGTGGCGGTGTAGCCGTCCGTAACCAGCATCAATCGTAATGCTATATTGCGATTTGTACAACTCTGCCAGGGGCAGGTAACAGCTGTTGACAATTTCATCCAATCGGGAGCTTTAACGTCACCACAGTGACGTCACTATTGTGTCGTTCAAGCTCCCTATTGGATGAAACCATGAACAGCTGAGACCTGCTAGGGGCAGAGAAAAACATGGCTTCAATTTGCTTCAAAGGTGGTGTTTCAGTCACTCTGTGTAGTATATTCTAGCTCGGTGAGATGAACACTGATTAGCTAAACATGAATCCACATAAAACTTAATTTAAACTACACTCGATAACTTTGTTATCGCAGCGCACTTTTCGCGAGGGCGAGTGTTGACGGAGGTCTTGCCCCGACGGGAGTTGAACTCGTGGATTTTCTTGCTTGCTCCGGGCGTATCGGTGATAATTGCCCTGTACTGGGATTTATTTAACAATACATTTGATGTAAATCAGCTGTTCATGGTTTTCATCCAATCGGAGGCTTCAATATCTCCATAGTGACGTCACTGTGATGACATACGCTCCCGATTGAATTAAATGGCAACAGCTAATGTGTCATGTACACGACTAAATAAATCGTATTATACTGAAGGTCAGCGACTATAGCAATCCGCGCGGCAAACAAGGAATATTACAATTCGTAACACATCATCGTTCTGCTAAATTTAACCAAAAAGTTAATGTTTATTACATATACACAGCATGTGAAGTAGAAATTTTGAAGAATTTGTGAGGGAAAAAATGATTTAAATATTATGAATACATTAGATTGAGAGGAATAGCTGGTATCTACTGAATTTTGGTTGTCTAGAGATGAGTTATGTCAGTCTTAGTAGCTGATAATTCAATCAATTTATTACAGTCATCTTCAAAGTTATAGTGATGCAGTCAGCCACAATTCATCCCAAATTACATTATAGCAGAATAGTTCAAAGGCAGAAACAAGTTTGTAAAAATATCAGCCATTACACAGCTCATCCCAGTCATCCAAGATTCCACAGGATTTTTTAAATCAATTATTAATCTTTGCAACACATGTGTAGAGGTTGCACAATAACAATATCTCAACAAGGCAATTTCTTTCTGGTTGCCAGCCACCCAAGTATCACTCAATTGTTTTGTTGAAAAATCACATATCAGGTTTTAAACATGCTACAATTAAAATATAGAGGAAATAGTGTAAGCATAAAAGAAAGAGTATGAAAGTTAAAATCTTTCCTCAAAGGTTAAATAGGTTTCTCCACAACCTGCTGACTTTAAAAATTAATGGAAAATTTGTACTCTTAGTTACACACGGAGTGCACTCTTCAATGGTAGAGATCAGTAAACCTATTTCATATTGTAATTCTTGTACAGTAACAATCAGGTATCTTGTTTCAACTGCTGGGCACTCAGAATGTGTTATGAAACAAAATTTAGATTTTGAATGCCCTATCAATACAATACAATTGTATAACACGCTAAGAATGCAATCCTCCTCAGCACACAATACTTTAGAAAAACCTGCCCCAAGTTTCCAGAATTGTTGTGAAGGAGTGACATTCAACATGATAACCCTTGAAATTGAAGAGAACACAAATTAGTGATTTATTTTGCCAGAATATTTGCATAACTTCTTTTAATTATTTCACAAGTATATACAATAATTACATTTAATGACATTATTTTAAAAATGAAAAGGGGATCAAGTTAGAGGAAATGCTTCGAAAATCAAAAATTTTGTTCTGGATAAATGTATTAGGAAGTTTCTTTACATTATTCACATTTAATGTCTTAGAAACAACAAAAATTAGTGACATGAACATAACACAACATCCAATACATTATTACAACATTTTCTTCATTAAAATAAAAAATAAAATGTGACAGTCTTGCAAACAAATATTCGGTATAATGGAAAAAAAGAAAGAAGAAAAACCCCGATTGCAAGTTATGTTCCAGACATTTAAGAACAAACGCTTTTAAATAAGTATGTAATCACGATTAATGTTCTTTTCCATGGTCTTAAAAAATAAGATGACTACATCTGAATATTATTCACGTGCAGGTCAAAAAGTTCAATTATTTGCTCAATAAATTAATACATCACATTTCTGTTATGTAAGTCCTGGAATTAGACGACCTTTCTTCACTAATCGCTGTGTCTTCTTAGACTTTTTCTTTCTCTTATGTTCATCAATATTTGATTGACGTTTCTGCTGTCTTTCTTCCATTTGTTTTTGCACTTGACTCTCGCGGGCTTTCCATGCTTTGCGACTCTTTTTCTTTTGTTGTATCTTCTTCTTTATAGTGTTTTGCAGTAACTGGGGATCATCCTTTACTTTTATTCCTGCTGTTTTTTGAAATGCAGTTTTCCAAGCCTGCTTTTCTTTAATTTCATCTACTTTTTTGACTTCCCCCTTCTCTTCAAGCAACTTCAGTTTTTCCTTTTGCTTTTCTATTTTTCTAAGCAATTTATGAGGATCTTTTGTTTCTTTTTTATTACGAGTTTCGTTTCCAATAAATGGAGACTCAGCAAAGTCAAATTTACTAAAAACCATTTTTCCTTCACTATTAAACACTGGTTTTGCTGGTTTAGAAGAAGTTGGTTTCATCTCCACTTTTACTTCTCTAGGTTCTTTGTCCACTTTGGTTAAAGTTTTTTTAAATTTTCTTTTGTCTTTACCTTTTAACTTCTCTATTTTATTTTTCAATCTTTTCCTTTTAAGCTTTGATTTATATTGTAGACTTTTACCTGAAAATAAAGCAGACAAATTTGTTAGGACCCATGTCGTTCAGCTTTTCAAAACAGCAATTAATTCATGCCAGTCTTCACTGACACAATTTTGGAGAAACTGAAGCAGTTAAATTGACAGATGGCTCTAATTCCAATTTGTCTCGTAGTCCCATAATTCAAAAATAAAAGAATACTTCCATCTGTATTTTACAATTGCGGAAATAAAAGTACATGAATCATGAGAATTAAATATGAATATAAAATGATCAGATTAAATCTGAATGAGATAACACTGTTACATGCTATCAACACTAATTTTCTAAAAATAAGAGAGAACATTACCTTTGATTCCTTCTAGTTTGCTTTGCAATTCTTCCAAAGTATGAGCCCGATTGGGTGCAAACAGTAATTTTGCTGAAACAATAAAAATTCATTTTCACAATTAAAATGTACATATTTTATTTGTAACTTATAACATAACTTATGCCATAACTTATTACCACATTTACATAATCAACTTAGTTGCCGTTGATTATTTTTACCATACACCATTATTTAGTAAAGTAATTGTAATCAAACAATGCTTCTGAATATCAAATATGAAAATCTGTTAGTACTCAAAGGTGTATGAAGCTTGAATTTCTTAAATCGATCACAGCTTCATTTATTTATTAACTGATTTAAACAATTTCAATAACAATATCAGTTTTGTCTACACAGGAGCTAAATGGCACAAAATTAAAATTAACAACAAAGACTAACTAATAACAACAATTCAATATATTAATTCATTATATAATAAAATTTGATTTTCCTGCTTTAAAATTCAACATATTTATTCTATAACAATTTATGATGTTTTTCATTTCATACATGTTGCTATTCCTCTCTGTAAATCAATAATCTGTCCCCTACTCTCCTGTACTTCTCCAGTCTAGGCTGTCACGGCCAAAACCAATATCAATAAAATGTAAATTTTCCACAATACATTCATACACACATCACAAAAGCTTCCTGGTACATTCCAAATACTCATAATGAACTTAGCATTTCACCCATTCCTGCCCACTTTTTCCTCCTAACCATAAAATTCTATTCTAAAATGTTACAGATTCCTTCAGCAATGCCTTCCTTCCTTTCACCTAGGTAAACAAAAGTTTAAAAAGAAAGTGTAGAGGCCCAGAGAATTTTGCGACCTCCCTAAGACACAAACCAATGAGCCATTCCTCATTTATCACCAATTTAACCCCAAAATTGTTCCATATGTTAAATTCCAATTTTGTTTACAAAATATCATATGATATCCAACAGTTTTCATAATATTCAATTCTTAAGTACCTTCAGTACATACAAGTTTACTTAATTCCAACATGTTACCTTCTTTACACCAATAATTAAATGCAATCTGAATAATTTAGTTAATATTACACAATTGAAATAAGAATGCGATTGACAATTAGACGATATATTTCAACCTCAAAAAGAGCAAAAACCATGGCTCAGAAAGACACTTAACTACAGAGAGAATCAAAATAATAAGTATCACTATAAATCAGAACAATTTTGGAGATATTTGTTAAATGTTGCTGGTAGAGATGTTCTACATAGAGGCTCCTGCATTTTCACAGAAAGCTTTGAAACAGCACACACATTTATAAACAATTACAATAAAGCTTTTTGTATTAATCTGTTTACTATACTAACCTGATCGCTGTGTTTTTATTGCAATGTCAATACTTGCTTCCTTTATATCTGAAAAAATCATTAGTTTCTTTACATGGGAAATAGAATACCTAGAATGTTACCTAAATCAAATTCACAGAAAACATACAGAATTAAAAGTGTAAGACATACCAGATGAGTTTTGCCAAGGAAATCGTTGCCATAAGTTCATAATATATTTATTTTCTTGCAATAAGTTCTTTCTTATACTGTTCTTATCAAGTTTATTCATTTTTTCGTTTTGGAGCTTCATAACAACCCTTAAAATGTTATAAATGTTTTCACCAGTTTCTTTACGAACATACAACCGTAACCAAAAATTTCTTGATACAACTCTGTTTATAAAGACAATAATGACAAAAGGTTATTACACACCACCAATAATTCTACAACCACACCAAACACAAAAATTGAGAGAAGAGCGAAATACAGTTTTTTAACTACATTTCCGAGTCAACACTAACCCAAACTAATACGGACTAATATTCCTGCCGCTTTCCTGCGTTGTGCAGCGTGCCACCTCGTGCAGGCGTTTCAGGCACGTGGTGGTGACGTGATGACTTTCGTGCTGCATCCCTGCTTTGTTTGCTACCGTTCTTTTTTTTCTTCAGTCCTTGCACTCTAGCAAACACAAATGTCATGGAACTGTATTTGAACTATGTTCTTATTTCTACCTTGTAATTTTTCACAACCTGTGTACATTCTCAAAAACATTTTGAAACTTATGTGGAATACATTGACTTCCAATCTGACTCCTATTCAGTGAAAAAGATTATTTTGTGGCAAAAGGTGGTAAACTATGATAACAAAGCAATATCTACGATATCAATGCTTCCAACATGATTGTACTTTTGTATTGGGATGTATGGAGCTTGATTTACAACTTATAGCACTCTCTGGCATGCTTGAACAGGATTACTAGAGGATTTCTCAGGATTATACGTAGTATGGTGCATGTGAAACAGAACTAAATTATTATTTAATTATATAATTACGACAAATTAAGTGGAGTCCAACCAGGCACACACTGTGGACTGCGCGTATAGGGCAGATTGATATCAGATTCTGTAATATATTTTGTTTAAATGTTGTTTTAAACAATGAAAGTTTGTAAAACTATTTAACATGATTTGGAGGAGAGTTTTATTTCGTGGAGGAGTGTTAGCTAGTGTGGGGATAGGCGGTTGGATTGCAGGGTCTGTAGCAGAAAGGAGAAAAGGGAATTATGAAGTGAAACTATCACAAAACAATGATTTTTCAATTCCCGTTCCTGCACTCCCTATATTTGGCACTGTGTCTGCTGCAACTCCCATAGAAAATTCAAATGCTCTTGTTTCTTCTGTCAGTGATGTAGATGTAACAAAACCATTGTCTACTAGTCGCGTTTCACAGGTATTATTAATGTTAAATGTAATTGGAATTAACTTAGTATATATTTCTTAACTGTCAATTTCTTTTAGCTGGAATGTATTATCATATTCAATGTACACAAAAAATTCCTATATTTGATATTAAATTTTGGTAATTTTTTGTTTTAGATAATGAAATTTGGGTTCCCTGGTTTGGATAACATTAGGTCATTTGATGATTATGTTTTATCATATGATAGAAGAAACCGTGTTGCCCATTGGGTGTTTGAACATTTGACTGCAGAAACTGTGAAACATAATGATGCTGTTGATAGATCCAAATGCCAATTTACAGAAGATCAGTCCATTCACCCTTACTTCAGGTAATGCATTTTATTTGCATAATTGTTTTTAAATAATCTTTAATTTATATTTTGAATGTAAAATAATTATTTCAGGTCTGTAAACAAAGATTATAAAGGGAGTGGATTTGACCGTGGACATCTTGCTGCTGCTGGAAATCATAAAGCATCCCAAAAACATATTGAACAAACATTTTTTCTTTCTAATATGGCACCACAAGTTGGTGAAGGTTTTAATAGGCATGCCTGGAATCGCCTTGAGAGACATGTACGAAAATTGACAAAAGTGTATCCCAATGTATACGTGTGTACAGGACCCTTGTATCTTCCAAGGTATTATTTTTAAAAAGCTTTTTGCAGGATGTTTTTGGTTTTATTTCATTTCTCAAGTGGTGGCTTTTTTTACTGTAGAAAAGAAGCTGATGGTAAAACATACATTAAATATCAAGTAATTGGAGCAAATTCTGTGGCTGTGCCAACACATTTCTTCAAAGTAATTGTAGGAGAGAGAGAAGACAAAGCTCTGGAAATGGAAGCATATGTGATGCCTAATCAAGCTATTTCAGATGATACACCATTGCATGTGTACCAGGTACATAATATTTCAGAGGTGTGTTCTGGTCAAATTTCATAAATATATATTTATATGTATAATGTTATGTCTCTCCAGGTTCCTCCAGATAGCATTGAAAGAGCAGCTGGACTCCTCTTCTTTGATAGGATATCTCGGGATAAGCTACGATCTATTAATGGACGCAAAACAACATATGTATGAACAGTTATATTGAACTTTTAGAGTTTTAAATTTAGAAACATATTTGATTGCAATTTTATAATTCATGAGTTATAAATATATATTGTTATGTATGTGAATTGTTATTTATTTTTAATTGACAAATTCATTTTAAAACTAAATGAAAATAACTTATTTTCTGTAGTGAAATAAAATATTAATGAATTATAAATTGTAATATTTTCTTATGTACATTCGCTGTATTTGCCAGTGTATAAGACACACCTGTGTATAAGACGTGCTCGTTTCCGTGATGAATTTCATTCTTTATGTTAAATTTTATACTTGATTTTGAAAAGCATGATTTTTTTATAAAGGAATTATATTTTAAAATACAATAAATATGTATTCTAATAGCTAAATCAGCCATTTAAAAAGATGAATATTTAAAGCAGGAAAGGAGCAAGATATGATTCAAGCAGGAAAAGGTAGTTTATGCTACAAACCGTTCAAGAAAATGAAACGGTTGAGAAAGTGAGACAATGTTGTAGAAGAGATGATAAATCCAACGAAGAAAGCATACAGATCCTGCCTCCAAAACGAACAGTGGAAAACTACATGGACCATCATTACGGGCCAAATGAGAAGTGCCAGTCGAATACACCGGAAGGACTGGAGGAAATTTGTTAAAAGCATAGAAAGAGATGTTTCAGGCCTACAACAAATGGGTTTCAAAGTTTTGAAACTGCTGCATGTGAATGTGAAAGATAAAATCAGACTAGATTGCATACCAGAAGAAAATTGGATAAAACCCTACTCAAGCCTGTGGAACAATCCAATTCTAAGATCTAATGAAGTGCTGGAAGGAGCAAGCCAAAACTCTTGACAGTGATGAACTAGACAACTTGCTGAATATAGAACTCGAGGCAGTAAAAAGAAGAGAAGAAAAGTGTAAAAAAATAGGAAAAGCCCTGAACCAGACGAGGTCAACATAAAACTCAAAAGATATGGAGGAAAGGAGTTGAAAGAAATGTAGAAATGTTATTAGAACTTTTTAACCAAGTATGGCAGGAGAAAACAATTTCAATAGTGACAAGAGGGTTTGGTAATGAACATTCAGAAGAAGGACTCAAAGAATATAAGTTACAATTATAGGGGCATTACATTGCTGTCAACTGCTTCTAAGCTATACAAACATGCCAAGGAACACAATTAATTATGTGAGAATTTCATGGAAGAAGAACAGTGTGGATTCCGAAAGGGTAGAAGCACTAAAGACGCCATGTTAACATTACAGAAGTTAATAGACAAAAGAAGGGAAAGGAATCTACCAACTTGTATAATATTTATTGATTATGAAAAGGCTTATGAGAAAGTTAATAGACAGAAAAACTGGGAAATACTAGAACAGAAGAAAGTTCCAAATCAGTTGTCCAATGCGGTAGTCTTTACAAGAACTCGAGAATTAAAATACCGTAAAGGGAGGGAAGAAAGTCGACACCAATAATAACCAGCAGTGGCATAGGATGAATGTGGATTATCACCCATCCTCTTCAATATGGTTGAGATATATCTATATATTGTGTCTATCTTCCTGAGAAAGTTAAACAAGGAATATAGATAACAAAAGACAAGGATATAGACACAATCTTGTATGTTGATCACCAAACAATCATAATGGATTCTAAAGAAAATCTACATAGAGTAGTTTTTGAATTGACAAAAGTGGCTTAAGAAGATTCCATGATGATAGGAGTTCAGAAAACAAAAGATATGGCAGTACAAGGCAAGGAACAAAGGAGAGTCAACATAGTTATAAATGGAAAATTAGTGGAAGAAATATATAAATTTTCATGCCTTGGAAATTTTATAAGTGTATACAACCAAATTCAGGAAGATGTAGAAAACCAACTTAAGTACAATAGAGTATGGAACAATTGAGAGACACTTTGGCAGAGACATGGACATGGAAACAAAACTGAAACTCACAATATAGCTGCTAGTTTTTAATTTCCTTTGGTCTTGGCTAGCTATTCGGACTTGCCACAAACTCCTGCCAGCTGCCATCTTAAGTTCATTTTTTGTGAAATGTTCTTAAATTTTCAGTTTCCTAATAATAGGCCGGAAATAATATTTTATAAATATGAAAATACAGAAAAATCTCGCCCTCAATTACAAATTTCTTCGAAAAATTTGCAGCAGTTTTTAAGAAAATGGCGCTTAAACACCAAATTCGAAATTTGAAGCTTTTTTTCACAGAAAATGTTTGAGTTTCCGAAAAACTTAATTTGAAGCTCTTTAACTCACAAATACAATAGTGTTTACAAATTGCAGGAAATGCGCGTTTTAACGGCATGAGAGATCTTTCCAAAAAATTACATTTGTGTAATTTAAAAAAAAAAAAAACAAGAAGTACCCCGAAATGAACTTTACGTCATATTAAAGAGTGCAATTAGCACTATCCGTTCGTAAAGTTTGAAGAAAAAATTTGGAGCTGTTTCGGAGAAAATGGAGAAAATCCACCTTTGGGAAATGAAAAATGTTTGGAAACGTTGTTGGTAGCTCATACTCGAACAGATACAATCGTGTTGTGTTTCTTGCCAATTGCATCCCAGCATTGAGAGATCTGACAGCATGAATCCGGCGTGGATGTGACGCCTTGTTCTAGGTTCGTGAATGTTTGTGCTTTGAATTAATTGAGAAGAAATGCCTCATAACTGTTTAAATGGCCCAAATACATTACGTATGTGAAGAATTAACTCTGAAATCGCAAATTCCGAACCTTAATTCTCTTAGAGGGAAGCATTATGAACTTCATTTCGGTGGAAGAAAGGCGACCAGGACAAGAAATGAGCCCTATATGTGTTATCACATTTGTAATTTACAATGATATTTGCTTTCTTTCGGTTTATTGAAATTCTGGCTGTTAGTGGCGAAGTAACAAAGCAACCAAAGAAAACCCTGCTTGCTTTCGAGTAGAACGTACAAATCTCTGTACTAGCACAAAAGCCGCTCCTTGCAGTGCGCCGCAAGCAATGCTGATTCTGCTTTTAATGTCTTTAATGCTGTAACTTGTCACTCGTTTAAGCGAAGGGTTGGGATACGCTGAAATGCATGTTGTTAAAGGCACCTAAAAGCTGCTGTAATTGGAGCCTATGGGCACTACACGACTTCAATTAATTCATACACATGCCAGTAGAACTCAGCACAAATCAGTGCCTGTGGCAGTGTCGTGCTGCCTAGTGACACAATCCTGAGATCAGCACATGCTGTCTGATTTTGATGGTTTTAATGCTGGAGTTAGATCTTTTGTTAATAGGAAGTTGAAGGCGTGTTTTAAGTGACTGAGGAATGTGGCTGTGTAACAGAAACTTGTCAGATTCGGCCATTTGATAGTAGAAGTGTCAGTGAAGAAATGAAGATTGAAAACTGACGGCGACCATCTCCCGACTTACCAAACTTTCTACAGGAATGTCGGTAAGAGCAATTTCTGCGACCTTTTGAAAAAAATATATACAAGTTTTGTGGTTAACAGGATTCGTTAATACCAGTAAGTTACTGACAACAACTTGTAGTTTCCTGTAGAAAAATCAAAATCTGTTTCGGCAAGTTCTGGGTACTGTGATTTAAACAATCTGCACAAAGCTATAAAAGTAAAATAATAGTAGTAAGTAAAATAATAATAGTTGATCTGTGTTTCTTCTAAAATGTAATAATTTTTAACTATCACAAATGTGCGCTTTATTTGATCTGAAGATTTTACTATTTAATAACAATTATTTTTGTGACATTGAATGGTAATTTCGTCTTCGAAAATGTGGGTACACAGCATGGAATTGCTGCTTGCCTACCAAAATACGGCATGCCTCGCCATTACTGACTGCGCTTCTCGTTCACAAATTTGATTTCAATCTCTCAGCCCTAGCGGATTTATAAACACGCAAACCTAGGTATGTACCTGAGGTGGCAAATTTGCGATGCAATGTTCTTTTAGATGTTTATCAAATGTTAAATTAAATTTAAAAATATAACATTTTTATGTACAATTTTACACTTTTTTTATAATGTTAAAGCTTTAGAAATAAATTCGCCGCAGGATTTCCTCCAATTTCTTCGAAGAACTGACCTTAACACAATATTTTCTCACTTCTACATCTACCTCAAAATTCCGCATTTTCAGAAACGCTCAAAATTGGCTCCAATTTTTTTTATTCCTACTTTTCAAACGTGTAGTGATAATTTAACTGATAATATGACATGAAGTTCGTTTTTGGGTATTATTTTTTTCAAAAATTACACATGTAATTTTTTAAAATATATCTCACGCAGTTAATATGCACATTTTTTAGCAATTTGGAAACACCGTTGTTTTTGCGAGTTAAATTGCTTCAAATGTTTCTCCATTCTTCCACGCAAAAGGTCAAACAATGCAAACTTGTTGAATTCACAGCCACCTACAAATGACACCCAGGTCTGTCGCCTACTGTAGTGATTCGTCCTTCGTGTCATAGGCGTGCACGCAAAGGAATATCAAGTTTTGCACGCAAAGAAAAATAAAGTCGAGATAAAACTATACTCTCGTGAATAAAGCTCCACTTAAACCCCTTGTCATATAAAGAACTTATTTTTTACTGAAATGTTACTCTTTGTTATTATCGATACGGAGCTCGATATACACTGCATGAGTAATCTGGAGTGAAAGATCGTGGTTACGAAGGAAATACGAAAACAGTTAAATGTTTGTTATTTCCTCGTATACGAATGTTGAGAAAGTTATGTATTAAAATGTTAAAATCTAAAGGGGTAGGTTATAGTACTCACGCGGTTAATTGGATATCGACATGGCTAGACAAGTCAAAGTTTATAATTGGCCAATAGGGAGAAGCGGTAAGAAAAATTTGAAAAGGCAATGTTTTGAGTTACAAAGTGTCCCAATAAGGGCGGTGTATGTATAGTTGGATTGGTAGAATTACTTTATTTCTCGAGTGGAATAGGAAATAATTGTCTAGGTTTCCTATCCTACGAAGCAGGAAAGAGTTGTGATTAACACCAATTGTCCCTATGAAACATTGGCGTTGACGGTAATAAAGTAAGAGTTAAAAGAGAACAAGAGGGGGGAGGGTGAGGGAAGACTAATTGTAGTGAATAACAAAAGATGACATCTTACCATGGATTACTTTCAACAAATGAGTTGCCTAAATTCATTAACATTACTTAAGTGCCTGCACATTATACATATCAAAATTGTTAGGTGAAGACTATCCAGTTTTATGAGTGAGCTCTAGCAATTCCTCTTAGCACTGCCAGGTGCCACCAGTTCATATGTTACTGTGGAGGGATGGTTTGTCAGGTGACGGAAGTGTGATAGCGATGCTCTTAAAGAGTGTCAAGAGTTTAAAATGTTAACAGGTAACCATAATCCAAATTTTGGTCATTCCTTGACTTCGAAAAGATAGCTCCCAAAACTGCACTACTTTTTGCTGCATGTACACAAACTTAACATGTCGAGTTATAGACTTCCTAGACCTGAAAGAACCATGTGCATATTGCTCTTTTCTCCGTAGATAGTAACAGTTTAACTGTTTGACAAATAATCTGGGCAGATGCAAGGGTGAAATTAAAAAGAAATTATTCTAATTTGTTTAATGAACAATCAAGCATACACTATTTACATTTTTGAAGCAAGTCATACACTCCATGTTTATTTTTAAAAAATGTTTAATGAAATGATGTACATAAAAATATTGCTGGTGAATAATGATGTGATTGCATGGCTCAATTTAATAAAACATTCAGAAACCTATATGCAATCATCATTTACATCAAAATGCATGGAACAATTGTGAAACTTTTGGAATACGTAAAACTAAAAAGGTGATAACAGATGAATGAAAGAATGAATGAATGAATGAATGAATGAATTCATGTTTTAATGACATACCAAGCAAATTTGTATTAAATTAACAAGTCTTAATAAAAAATTGTTGTATCTTCTGCAGGTACACACAGGAAACTGGCACTTCTTTTCATGAAATTTTAAATAGACAAATCCAATGTATTTCAAGACTTAACTTTTTCCACAAAAAAATTGCATTATATCGAATACTAGAGAATATTCACATTAATATCAATGGTTATCTATGCGTTTACCTGAAGAATATTTTACCATTCTCAATATGAACACATTTTGCATTATATCAATAAAATATAAGAAATGGTCAATATGTGGCTTGCAAAGCTTCTCCACATTTGTCTTTAGACTAAAAGCTTAGTCTTTTGTCGTGAGTAAAAACAATTTTCAAATTATGTCACAAAAGTTACTGAACTTTATATTGTTGCTTCAAGCCATTCCATCCTCATCCTTGTTCTTGTCAAGGCGCTTCAACTGCACAGGGCTGTATTCTGTAGGTGCTTCAACAGCAGGTGCACTGAAGGCATGATAATAAAGAAGGGCTGCAGAGATTCCACCAAGAATTGGTCCCAACCAATACACCTGAAACAAATAATGCATTTTCTAATGAATATGTTAGTAAGAAATATTTGGGGGTGAAGCTTCGGGATGGATTAGTCAGTATCCTTGCATGAATGATTAACAAATTAAAAAAACAAAAAACAAACACTCTTGGGCATGAACAAAAATGAAAATTTTATGTTCTTCAGATAAATGAGAGTATATCAAGGAAACTTTCACCATGAACTCCATGTTGGACTATCCATCAAAACTTGATAACAACTTTTTGTCTAAACAAAATACAAGAACAAAATTAATGTAGTTGATTTGTAGTTTCAAGAGTTATTGCATTTAAGTTTCTTTTGTTTATTGCTTTGCCATTTTTATTGCTGCTAAGAAATTGAAGTGACAGCTGCTTTGAAAAAATACTTTCAATACATTTTAGAAGCAATTTAAATGAGCGATTGTTATTATTTCTATGCAAAAATTTGAATTTTGTAAAAAAAATTTTTTCAAATCCGATTTTGGGTGCTTATTGTGGCCAAATCACTAAATCTCGTTTGTTAGTTAAAATATGCATAAAATTGTCTTTAAGAGCTTTTTGAAATTCCGTTGTTTCCTCTGGACATCCTGTGCGTGTAATCGCATCCTGCCATGTTTGAGATCAATACAGGGAGGAAACTTACTTAGAAATTCTGGTTTTAAATTGTTTTCATAAAAGCCAACTTCCTTACCCAGTGGTCATCCCAGTGAGCGCTCACCACTGCAGAGCCCAGAGTGCGGGCAGGATTCATGCTGGATCCAGTGTAATCAATCTGCAACAAAGAATTTTTGTTATCTTGTCTTACTATTAGATTACTTATAGGCATAAACTAATTCCTGAATTTTAAAAGAAGTAGTAATAAAGATGTTCAAAATCTGAAAGTTCTGATAGCACAACCTTTTCAGTCTCTTATTTTAATTTGTTAATTTTTAATTCGGTTTGATATGCTTCACCGTTATAATATTTATTTTTCTAACACTGAATACAAAGATGCTTTGTTATAAGAGCTACTATGCGACGTCGATTCAAGATGAGAAAACTAAAATACAATAGAACTTACCGCCATCAAGTGACCCACAGTAACGGTAAGTCCAATTACCAGCGGGGCAATTCCTGCGGTAGTAGGTTTGTTAGGATCACACACACCAAAAACTACCAGCACAAGAATGAATCCAAGGAAAAATTCAATTCCGAATCCTTGAATTGCGGTGACATTTGGGCCAAGTGTCGTCATGCCTAGATTACTCTGCACTTTGTCGGGCGTCAAGGCCTGCAAGAAACAGTTCGTTAATTCGTTGACAATTATAATCTCGCCGAGACAAAGTAAATCCGAGAAAAGTTTACCTTCAGAATAGCAGTGCCAGTAATTGCACCGATGCATTGTGCTATTATATAAAGAAGTCCCTTTAGTGGATATACACGACCGGTCACAAGCATTCCGGCAGTTACAGCAGGATTGACATGTGCCCCAGACACGTGACCAACAGCCTGGAACAAGTAAGAATCATAAGGCTAAGTAGAAGGGTAAAAATTCATGCTTCGCCTAATCTTTAAATGAAGTACATAGTCCCTTTCTTACAGCCAGATACTAAGGGAAAACTAGTATCAATTCAGAATTTTCAAAAGATTGTGTAATTATAAAATGGAATAATTGTAAAAACAAATGTATACAGTGTATATAAATATTAAATTGTCAGAGTCAATATTTTAGGTACTTTTAACTTTCGGATGGATACACATTTGACAATTCACAGACTTGACATCAATGATACGTTTTAAGTGTTTTAGTGAATGTAATTTTGATAAAGGAAGGTCTTTATATTAAGGTGGCAAATTTGAAATTTTAAAAGTTTTAAGACCTATATTATGTGGAGAAATAAGATTAAGAGTGCATTTCGTACTTCGTTCTCCTACCTATGAAATTTAAAAACTGCTCAAATTAAGACATTATTAACACTCCGTAAGTAGAGGTATGAACGCAGCCCCACATTTCACTAATCAGCGTTTATGTAACGTATTTTGCCCATGGTTCCTCTTAGATGTTACTCAAGATCCTAATGAAGAAAGAGGCACTATGAATGCTGAAGGTGTGGTGCTAGGATGGAGTATCTAACATTTATAAAAGTACAAAAATCTTGTGGATAATTTTTAAAATGAAGCAAGTTCGAATAAAAAGTGATTAAATAAAAGGCATTTCATGTTGGGGCATGATCATTTCTAATTCGATAGTTCTAAAAAACAAAAACCAATTATAATACAAAAATTGAAGGCTATTTTGTTAAAATATTTTTCTCTTATTTCCTAAATAATGTATTGGTAAGAAAGGGATGAAAGTTTAAGTTTCCTTCAGGGCTTGGATAGATACCATTTATTTAATGCAGGACACACGCTTAATATCATGGTATCGGGGGAAGGTTAAGTACGAGGATGGAAGTGCTTATCTCGAACCTGAGCTGTGACGTGCGTAATCACGACCTAAGGAGGATTAAAGTGCCACAAAATTTTGTGAACCACCAAAACCTAAAATTGTCCTAAAATGGAACAAAATTATAATTTCGAATTTTTCGTGTTCGAACTGAGAAAGGGCAGAATAACAAGAGTTATTTTCTGTTTTTTGATAAAGTATCTTACCTGAATAGCCGCCATGACTGCAAGACCAAAGGAAAGGCTGATGAGAATATAACCTCCAGTTTGGGTTTCATTGACATTGATGCAGGATCCGCATCCGAAGAGGTTCAGTATCATAGTGCCAAGGAACTCTGCGAGGAGCGCTTTCCATATTCCCCCGCGTCGATCCTTTAGCTCGTTCACTCCCACTCGTTCCATCAAGTTCGCCGACATCCTAAGGACGAAAAGATAAGTGGTAAATCCTACAGTAATTTGCAGCCTATAAATATTCATGATTAAAGGTTTGTAACCGCTTCAATATCTAAGGAACATTTATTCTACTGCGAATAGAAATAATCGCCATGGGTGGACGTCGTGGTTCGCAGACGCATCGAGTTCCAACCGCTCCGATGATGGGCTAACTGAACGGCATCAATTGGACCAGGGGAGCTGGGGCCATTGTGGGCAGAAGTAATTGCTAGCATTACAATGACTCCCCAGCACACTGGTGGCGAAGGTCAGTTGTGAGGTTTACCACTTGCGGCATCTGATCGCGGATGTACCAATGATTATGGTTTCAATTATTCATAATTATCAGTAGGAATTGTGTTTGAAAAGCCAAAACTTCGAATGCAAATACCAAAATTTGAATTTGAATTTTGTTTTAATAGAGTAATAAAAATTCATAGCTTTCAACATTTTCTTTAAAAATGCATTAAACAAATTTGTCAATATAATCTACTTAATTTCGTCCCATTCTTTTCCGGTCTATTTTTGATGAAGATTGATTGTTCAGTTAATTATACTCACATTTTTACGGAAATCAATACGATTTAACAGTAAGTTTACGAAATTTAGGCTACTCTTCGTGCCTTCAGTTTTGCAGAGGTTTGCAATTAATTCGTTTCAAAACTTGTTCATGCAAGGCCTTGTCTTTTGACATTTTTACCACGACTGTTCTAAATAAGGATTTGGAGGCGAAGCGATGTTCATATTTTATAAGTAACCTTACTCTTGCAGAGAACTTATTAGAGGAGTAATCCAGCTTCACTCCATGAGGGAAGGGCATTAATGGAATTTCTAACTAAGATGGGTAGCGCGCCCTGCATACATCCCATGTGTATCTCTTGCCGCGTCGATACACACTACGGTGAATACTAAACAATACTAATTCGGTTCAGATTAATAACAAACCTAACAGAAGAAATTGAATGTAGGAAATCTTGCCTCGTTCGCCGATTCAGAATATTTTTTATGACAATTTTTGTTGGAATCTTATTTACAACGTGTCCTGAAATAACACAATTTTGTGTTAATAAAATTTTTTCGAAGTCTCACATGTACCGTAAAAGAAATTTCAATGATTTATTGGAATAGTGATATGGATGCAATTTAGTATATCAAGTTTTGTTTTAAAAACTTCGTTCGCGACTGAGATTTTTATGTCTTTTTTCGGACAAAAACACATTCGGAAAATTTCCGAAATTTCATAATGGCATAATAGATCTTTAAACGGAATCTTTACAGCCGGATAAGCGGGATTACTGCACCCACCCACCCACTGGACAGAGCGCTTTATGCATTTCAATGACCTCAGAGGAAGAGGCCTGTTAGTGGGCACGACGACGTGGGTCTTTCCAGGGCCGGATTATTCGTCTAGTTATTTGGATAGAAGCTTTAGACAGAAATAAAACTGTAAAATACTAAACTAAAGACCAACGGTTTTCAGATGGAAGAGACCAAGAGGCAATACAATGTTTAATGACGCGAAGTTAGTCGACAATAACTACTATATCGCATTGGGCGAGCGATTAGTCACGAGGGCAGCGGGTAATTCAGTTTAAGGTACTCGGGGCTACTTTGGTGCTCCACATCTGCAGAAAATCACAAAAGTTAATAACACCAGACGACTACTTTTCCCAATTAGTAAAGCATTTTATGACATGAACAGAACCGAATTTATCGTTCCATGAAGTATGCACTCCTCAAGTTGCACTATCTTAACAGGGATCGATTAATGCAGAAACAATGCGAACTGCACGCACAGAGTGTTTCCGCTGAATAGGGTTTCGTACTTTTTAAAATAATGGAATGGTCTTGAAATTAGATTACAAAACCAATTCAAATTGCCAATATTTCGGCTTTTATTAAGTCTTCACCGGTGCATTTTTTTAACTTCAGATCTCTAGGAATTATCCTCTATTTTAAGAACTGTTCCTTCCCACATTTAGGATTTCTTAAGAGCTATAAACGGACCTAACGCATTACGCTAAAAGATCTAAAGCATACTATGTTATATACAAATAGAAAGTACAAATAGAAGTGAAGTATAGAAGTTCAATTCTGAATTCTAAATGGCATGTCTAGGCAATGGCCAAGCCATGAAATGTTTCCATGGTCTTAATAAAATATTTGCCGGAACCGTAGTCGTTAGATGTGTAATTTTTACTCGTATTCAAGTGTCAACACCCCTTGTCCAGTCGATCAAACTGACGAACTAGCTGGACCTCTTGACATCGCCGATGCCAGGATATTCGAGGAGGCCTTATCCCTCTAATATATTACACTGTCCAAGAGAGGCCCCTGCGGAGGTGGCCGAGGACATCATTTGGCTTCTCTGCAGTTCCTCTGACCAGGAGGTCCTATGGTCTAAGTCCGCCAGTGACAGGATTTTCGACAGTGGCTAGATAGCTAGGCCGAGTTAGCCGTTTTCTGGAGGAGAATTGTAGCGGCCGGCTGCTCAGATTTTTTCTTTTTCGTGGTTTCCCCGATCAACACCGGACGTATGCCGAAGCAATACCCCAATAAATGGGCCACGGATCCATTTCCAGGTATCTTACAGTGGGGAACCGTTCAGCCCGGAATGCTCTATACTTTTGTCTGGTCTTCCCGCATCGGTGATAGTGGTAGAATGAAGTTAAATTTTTTTGTGAAAGGCGAGGAAGGGACGACGATAAACAAAGAACGATCGCGTACAGTCCATAGTTTATTTGTTGGGGTATAGGTCGCCAAGTGTTTATTGGAGGTATCATGGTGAAATATAGATCAGGGAAGTCTATCGCTAGACTTTTGTAGACATTGGTCGAATTCGGCTTTGCTAGCTGGGGTAACTTTGCTAGAGTATTATCCGCTACCGCCTAGAACTAAACCCAGGCCAGTGACACTGCGTCGGCAACTGATCGTCGGCTGCATCGGCAGCGTCTGATCGAGCCAAGTTAGCCGAAAACCTAATGTAGTCATACCATAACCTATGTTTTCGAAGTTTCATTAATGCAATTTAACTTTTTGATGAATGTGCAATTAGTGCGGAAGGTGCGTTTGTGACCGAACTGAAGGTCTATGTGACAAAATTAATTAAAAAATTTTAATAGTTAGGACTATTTCCCTCCAGATAAGAAAGATATCCGCAAAAATCCTATATTCTTAAAGAAATGTTAACGTACAGAAACAAATGAAAGGTAAATCTCATTCGATTTTATTTAGTTTTTCCAAAGAAAAAAAATGCTTATGGATAACAGATCAATAACATGACACTGCTGCCCCCGACCGTAGTATATTTTCATGAAGCATTTTAAGCGAAAGGTTATTAGTGACTCCTTTCATCCATGGCGGACGAGAACCTCGTGCGCCTAGCCTGGGTCCCGCTGCCTGCCCCCCCCCCTTTAATGCAAAAAATAGGTAAAAAATTCTAGAATTTCAATTGAGAAATTCAAGATCTCAATATGCTTCACTGTTTTAGGCATGGTACGGCCTGATATCACTCATTCTCCCCCTCCCGTTCCAGAACAGCCGAGAAAAGTGCGAAACTAGCAATACGGATAAGTCAGGTGTGGATCGCTCTATTAATCAAAGTATAATATACCATAAACGATTTCGTTGTGGCCTTGCAAGTTGGACACCCCTGGCTTAAAGCCTTCAAGGGGACCGCCGTCCTCTCATCCCGCGCTGCCCTTGCAGGCGTGACGCTGGTGTCGCGGCGGCGGACCCGCGCTTGGCACGCGCATCCTAACTCCGCGCTAACCCACGCAAGTGGAACGCGGCCTCTGGCGCCGTTAGCGCCGCTGGGGGTGGGGGGAGGAACGTGAGAGACGAGCAGCCGAGGGGGGCGGGGGAGGGGGTGGAAGGAAGGTTGGCACGATAGCGGTGGCCGCGGCCGGCCAGGTGGCCGTTGACGTCCGCCCACCCGGGATTAAAAGGCTGTCGGCATTCCCATCTCAAGTTGATAGATTTAGGCAGGCGCCCAGTGCATACATGAGCTTTTGACGAGACGTTTTGACCACCCAATTTGTTGCAAGCTTTACTAGATTGTTATAACTTTGGTAAGATCTCGTCCAAGACAGAGGAAAGGGCGGGACATGTTTGTTGATGATCTACTCATTTTAGAGTTAAACTTTCCCAGCAGAAAATTATGGAAAAAAATAACCAACTATCTAGCCAATAGTTCCTTGTCTATTTTTTCTATTTCCACTCATTAAATGAAATGATATCTTTCCTTGAAATATTTTCTATTGTACGAGTTGTTTCTAGAGCACGTTATGTTGAATTGTTTACTTAGGCGTTTAGTGGGAAATCTTTGAGATTTAAGCATTTATGATTGTCGGAAAAACTGCTGCTAAGCAAATCTATTTTTTGTTTATTTTTATAGCTTTAATTTCAATTCATCGAATACGACTTTTACAGAATATTCGTTATTTATAATGCATTTGAATTATTTGGAGTAAACTAATTTGTTTCAACGATTTTCACGCTATTAATTTTTAAACTTTTTGCGGGTTTTTGAAAAGCCATGAATTTCTACGAACTACTCTCTCCTCTGAAAAATCGGATAATTCCTCTCTTTAAACGTTTAACATTATACGATTTCTTCATTGGAGAGATTATGCCGCCTTCGGCTCCCTTCAACCCACTAACTCACTTGTGAACTCTGGACGGCTTCCCAGACATAACGCATAATAACAGCTTAGAAATGTTCCTTCTGGTTCGTAGCCAAGTTCAAAGACCTCCAAGACTGCCAAGCCTAGCTATGTGTTGCTATGTTTATAGAGTAGCTGGAATGTTTGAAGCTATTGTGTACTAAACAGTGCGGTAAGTTGGGAAAGGTTAATGGGAAAATGTGAATGCAAACCGTATTTTGAATTTAAGTTGTATCACGAAATTGTAACTTCGCAGTTCCTTTACATAAACAGATCTCTTCATATCGAAGTAAATTCAGATAAAACCTTAAGTTTTTCCGTTACGTAAAGATATTAAGTTTGTTTTACAAATTTCGTAATAACTTTGTCAGGGCTTTCAATTTGAACACGGGTTCCTGTAGTAACGATATTAAACGCATAGATACGGGAGAGATGGTGGAGGAGGCTGTGACCCCATCTGAAATTTTTGAATGGGGTCCTATAGCCCAACGTAAAAAAAATTGCGTCCATATGAACAAAGGGCATTATCCCCGTTTTAAGCTGATAATTTGCCTAATTGATACTACATTTGGGGAAGAAGTTCTCCGATCCATCTGGCAATTCGCTACGTTTGAAAACAAAAAATAAAATTTTACTCATTGTAGCCCGTCAATAAAGTTATACTTTCTTGATCCTTCAAGTTATTTTATTATTTCCTAAAAAAATGTGCGCTATGTAAATAAATGCAAGGTAAAAAGAGCCCGGAAATTTAGTAGACCCCCTCCCCTTGTTTTACGCTGCTCTCACAGA